ATTTGATTCCATGACAATAATATTGTATCAAATTCATATAACTCATTATATAAAATAAGTGTATCTGATCCCATATCAAAATTTCGCAAGAAAATTTTTTTGTTAGAAGCCAGAAGGTAGCTCATAATCAACATTTTGAGATATTTATATTGACCATGTACGTCACTCCGTGTACAAATAGAAATTTCCTTTTTGTAAATTGTCTATAAAATAAAAATAAGATGTTTGTGAAAATCTTTTTGGGATCTTATACCGTATTTTTAAATTAAGACATTTCATTTACACTATTCTAAATTAAAATCGGGTTACACTTTAGTAACGTAACTTTCCCTCTTTAGGTTTCCAAACTGTTACTACAATCAACTCTCTATAAGTGCAACTTAAATTCTGGCCAAGTATATGGTTATTTTCTTTAAATGCATTTTTCTTAATTGTTTTCTAAATGCATGTTGTTAAACGTCTGGTCCCAACAAATTGCACTTAGAAAGAGTTGACTATTTACATTTTAATATGAAATCTACAGCACATCAATTAGAAATTACGTAATTGGTCAACAGCATACCACATGATTATTTTATTGTAATAATTTAATTGGTTAAAATTGAAGGTTTAATTATTTAGATAATCATTAAATGATTTGAACTCTTCGATTAGTCGATTTTCGATTCATATCGCTAGTTAAAGTCAGTCGAGGATTGCGAATCAAAGATATAAAATGAAAGTATGTCGCCGTGTCATATAGTAATTAGACTATAGGCACATTATTTCATTCGGTAGTGTAACCAGTAATCATTCTAATTGGATAACTTGGATTAATTTTTGATCTTTTCATAATTAGATCCTGCACCTGCGTAACTACGGAATAATGCAAATAAAAGCAAAAGGAAAACATAATCTAATTTATGATCTAATGGATCAATGACTGACCAAATAAAGATAAGAACTATTTTTTAAATGTCATTGTATAAATTGTAATATTCCAAATTTGAAAACATAAAATACATATCACCTACGTACGCACAGTACATATTACCTTAAATAAAATATAATAGAAATTTTATTTTCAATGCATATACGGGAATGAAATTCCAGAATGTAATATATTACAACTGCGAAAATGTTAATTTAGTTTATGCTAATTTTTAATATTCTAAAACTAAAGGTAATGAGACTTTTTAATAATTCATCCATTATCTTAAGTGCAATGGTTCAAACTTACTGTTTTCCTGAAGGTCATCCTGAGGGCCGTGGTGACATGAGTAGGTGCAAATAAATGACAAACTATACTTTATGGGAGGCTTTCGCCTAACACTTAAATCAAATCCGAAAATATATAATTTATCAAACGAAGTATTTTATTTAGATCTTTCATCAAGATTCAATACTGAAAATCCACCATTTGTAGATCTTACCGATGGTACTTCACGGAAACGAAAAACGTTAATATTGATTTTGAATTATTCATTCTAAGTTCATTAAATAAAGTCATTCTATTATCATATTTATATTAATTTTATGCGATTTAGTAGCTGCAGTTCTTGGAGGATCTAATCGATCTGACATATACGCAGTTGAATCTATCAACGGTAAATTGGAACGCTACGGACCAAATAAATTGGAATGCTACAGATCAATTTATTTACATTTATAGAACTGCTCCTAAAATATGGATGAAACTTGAACAAGGAGTTAAAGGAATTCAACCTTCAAGACGTAAATCAACTTCAACAGTAATCAAACCTAATGGAACAATATATATATTTGGCGGGAGAATAGAAAAAGATATGGGATCAGATACACTTATTTTATATAATGAGTTATATGAATTTGATACAATATTATTGTCATGGAATCAAAT